TGCTAGACACGTTTGTGTTCCTCTCCCTTTTTGAAAGCCAAAGACAGATGGATGGATCATGTCTTTGATCTGATGGAGTAAACGAGTGAGGAGAATTCTTTCACAGGTTTTTGACAGGCAGGACGTCAGAGAAATTGGTCTATATTAATCGGGCCGTCCTGGTTTTGGATGATGGTTGCCCGTTTCCAAGAGGTAGGCAAGATGCCTGCCATGTAGGTTAAGTTGAAGAGATCAAGAAGAGGATCTCTTCCCTTTACCTGTACTTTTGCAAGAAGTCGGATGATGTCATAAGTGATTCCATCATCCCCAGGTGCGGTGGATTTGCTAGTCTTAATGGCTGCAAGGAGTTCCTCCCTTGTAAATGGTGCATCAGCCTCATCTAAGAGGTGGCACTGGTAGTCAATTTCGTTTTTATGGCTTAATTTAAGGGAACACCTACGTATGGATAATGTAAGGCTATCAAGAGAAGAATCCTCACACCATTTATTGAGGAGAGATGAGGCTACCCTTTCTGGATGTGGGTGGGGTGTTATACTGCATGGATTGCCTTTGATCTTGCTAATTTCCTTCCACACATTACTCATGGTTGTCATGGAGTCAATTGATTCTGCCCAGGCATAATTTTTTTCTTCCCGCTTTCGTGTTATTATCTCATTGATCTCTTTACTGAAAAACACAAGATCTTTAGCTAAGTACGGGTTTTTCCTCAAGTGTCGTAGCTGGCTTACTGTAGATCGTATGAGTCTCCTAAGAAGTTTTATCTCAGGGTCTTTGTTTAGTTGTTGTGCATGTCTACCTCTGGAGGATAAAGGTCTGTGATTGGCAGAGCTTTTGGGCTGTATTTGAGTAATGATATTGCCAAATTGCTGACAGAAGGTTTCATTAAAGTGATCCAGGCTGGTAGGAGTAAAGTCTTCATACCAGCAGGCAATTCTTTCAATGAATTCATTGTGAAATTTAGTAGCAAGGTGGTATCGAAGGCGTGGCTGGGGTGGGGCTCTTTTGCAAAAAGGGAGGGTTATACTTAATGCCCAGTGATTACTAACTAAGAATGGGATGACTTCTGCAGTACTTGGTAGCATGTGCTGATTGTATAGTTTTTTCGAGGGGGCTTAATAAGTGTATGGGATCACTAGTATTTTGGAGATAGTCATAATAAGCCTTACCGTTTTTGCCAATGGTACTTCCCTCGGAGCCTAGGAGAGGATGGCGAGCATTAAAATCCCCACACAATAAGACAGTATCAGTATGTATCATGCAGTCAGGAGGTTTAGGTACCACCTCACTATCATGTGGATTATATACTTTAATGATGGTGATAGATTTATCGTCTAAAAATATTTTAATACTAAGATATTCAACACAGGAGTTGTCACTATTGTCATCAATCACTTCCGGTGGAATTGAGTTCTTTATGTAAATGCCAAGCCCTCTCGTAGAGGGGTTAGCAATATTTGGTCTGTCATAATATGTGTATCCCGCAATTTTTGCATTACGAGCACTAGTTCTGACTTCCTGAAGGCAACACACATCAACATTTTCGGAGTGAAGATACTGGGAGAGAGTTGCCTTGCGTTTCTGCAAACTGTTTATGTTCCAGGTAATACATTTCAAGTGATTAACTGGAGACATTGATTACTTGGCCATTTCCAAGGCCCACTACAGGGTGATGCTGTTGTTGATTTAGGAGGAACGAGAACATCCTTTCCTGAAGTTGAGATTGTTGAGCCATTTGTTGCTGCATCATGAACATCATCTGCTCCATCTGTCGAAGTAGCATTTGCAGTAGGTCTTTGATTTCCCCGTTGGACTCTTGTTTGTCCTGCTGCAGAGGGTGCTGAGCTGCAACTGATGCTGAAGCTGGTGCTGAAGCTGGTGCTGAGGCTGGTGCAGCAAATGATGCTAGAGTTGGGGCTGCAGCTGGTGTTGAAGGTGGTGCAGAGACTGATGTAGCATAAGGTGCTAGGGCTAGTGCTGCAGCTGGTGCTGGTGCTTGAGCTGACAGAGCTTGAACTCCTGCTTGTGCTGGTACTGTGGCCTGCGCATTTGCTTCCGTTGCAGAGGCCATCACTGTTGGCCTCTGTAGGTGTGGGAATTCCCTCACATCATCGAAGCGCGGGGCTGGCGGGGACTTTTGTGGGGGGAGGGTTGCCTGTTCTTTTTACTATTTGTCTTTCTGCCCTTTGGATAGTAAGGACATACTGGGGAATTTGCATTATGCTCTTGTCGGCAGTTCACGCATTTCCGAGGGACATTTTTTCCTTCGAAATTTTTTTCTGCACATTCAGAACTTCCGTGTGGAAGAGCGCAGTACTGGCATCGCGCTGCGTCTCGTGGACAAGCACGCGTTCCGTGGCCCCACTTTGAGCAGTTGGAGCAAAACGGGGTCAGGGATTTGAAGATGGCACACCTAAAGGGTGCCATGCCCTCGACCATTTTGATACTTTTGGGGATTACCTCCCCCTCATAGGTTATGATGACTCTCTGGGTCATCATTCCATTTGTCTTCATGCGCCTCACATGAATGATGCGTTCGTTGTATGTAGTCATTTCTTGTGTTTCGATTTCCCTTGGGACATCGAACACAATGATGTTCGTGCATTTTCC